CCCGGTCTCCTGGAGACCCCCAGAAAAGCCCCCGAGACCCCCACCGAACATCCCCGGGACCCCCAGAGATCCCCAAACCCCGCGGAGCCCCCAGACCTCCCTCACCGTCCATCGCCGCCCTCACCGCGGCCTCAGGCCTGGCCCCGCCTCGTCCAATCGCAGCCCGCCCCGACACTTCTCGACCAATCAGCGAGCGCAGCACGCCGGAGGGCGGGGCCTGCGTGAGGCCCGGCACAGCAGCGGGGTGAAGCCCACCCGGCCGCCATCTCGAGTGAGGGCGCGGCGTTTTCCGCCCCTTTCCGGCAGCACCGCGCGCTCCCATTGGACCAGCAGCGCTCGACCAATGGGAAGCGGTGGTACTGGGAGGTGCCGGCGTGTGAGGAGCGGCGCGGAGCCATCGCGACCATGGTGAGGGGCGCGGGGTTGGGTCGGTGGTCCCGTGTCCCCCCATGTCCCCGCCTGTACCCCACCCTCATGGTGCCTCTGGCCTCCCTCCGTGTCCCCCATGCTCTCATTTCCATGCCCCTCACAACGAGCCCTCCCCCCTGCCCAGTGTCCCCATGTCCCCCCTCACGCGTCCCTCACTCCGTGTCCGCTGTCCCCTGATTCCCCCTGATGATGTCCCCGCTGTCCCCCGCTGTCCCCCATCCCTCGGTGCCGCCCCTCGGCTCCCCCGCCGTGCCCCCCACCCTCTCATGTCCCCCTCACCGGGCCCGTCCCCGCACCCCGCCGGTGTCCCCGCCGGTGTCACCTCCGCCTGTCCCCGCGTGGCAGCTGCGGCGCCAGGCCCGGGAGCGCCGGGAGTACCTGCAGCGCCGGGCCAGGGAGCAGCAGCAGCAGCGGCAGCGGGAGCGCAGGGAGAGCCTGCGGCGGGCGCTCGACGGTACCGGGGCACGGGGAGGGGGAACAGAGGGGCTGGGAGGGGGGCAAAGGGACCGGGGAGAATTTGGGGGGCTTACAGGGGGCTGGGGGGGAGTTAAGAAGAGATCCCGGGTGTGTGAAAAGGGGGCTGGGGGCGGCAGAGGAGATTTGGAGGAGGTGAGGAGAGTTTAGGGGGGATACAGAGGACTTTAAGGGGATTGGGGGATGTTTGGGGTTGTTAAAGAGGAGCTAAGAGGGGACATGGGGGTGCTGCAGGCCCGGGGGGTTATGTGGGGCTGGGGTATTGGAATGGGGAGGGTTGGGGGTCCTGTCTGAGCCCCCCCCGTTTCTCTCCCCCCTCCCCAGAGAATCGGCTGCTGCCCACAGAGCTGCGGCGCGAGGCGCTGGCCCTGCAGAAGGAGCTCGAGTTCGACTTCCAGGCACCGGGGGGTGAGAGGGACCCCCAAACTGGGGGAGAGGGACCCCCAAACTGGGGGAGAGGGACCCCCAAATCAGGATGGGAGGGTGGAGGGTGGGGACCCCCAAGTTGGAGGTGATTGGAATTTCCAAATGCAGGGGTGGGGGACAGGCAAGATTCTTAAATGGTGATCTAGACCCCAAAATGGGGAGAAGGGAATCTTGAGGCAGGAGGGAGGCAGCCCCAAAAAATACCTAAAAAAAGAGACTGATCTCATTTTTAGAAGTTTCCCCAAATTCCCTGTGGGTTTCTAAGTTTCCCACATAAGATTAAATTCACCGCAAAATGAGTGTGAGGTTGCACCAACACCCACAGTCTGGGCTGCACCCCAAATCTGAGCCTCCTTTTCCCAAAATGGCAATTAACCCCATGTCCCCCCAAAATCCCCCCGGAACCCCGACTCTGAACTGACCCCGATGACCCTGGGGTGGGTGTGGCCGCAGGGGGTGTGGCCTGACAAAGCCCCGCCCCCAGAGACAGGTGACAGCCAGGATGATGAGTACAGGTGGGCGGGGCTGGAGCCCCCCAAGGTGATGGTGACCACCTCCCGAGACCCCAGCGCCCGCCTGCGGCTCTTCGCCAAGGTGGGCATGGCCGGGTTTGGGTGTGGTCTG